ATATAAACATATAAACAAATAAAAATAAAAAAAAAAAGAAAAGAAACTTACATATAATATATATAAAAATAAATAAAATAAATGAGTCTTATACATATATATTAAACTAAAAAATAAAAAAAAAAAAAAGTTTACGCATAACATTTATAAACATAAAAAAATAAAAAATAAATAAAAATCAATCTTCTCAGTCGAAACCTGAGAGAGAGAGAGAGAGAGCGAAAGAGGAGACAGAGGCGAAAGAGAGAGAGCGAGAGACGCAGAGAGAGGGGCTTACCTCGAAGACGACTGGATCGACTGAAGTCAGAGGGCTTCGATCGACTGAAGTCAGACGACTGGATCGACTGAAGTCAGACGACTGGATCGACTGAAGTCAGACGACTGGATCGACTGAAGTCAGACGACTGGATCGACTGAAGTCAGACGACTGGATCGACTGAAGTCAGACGACTGGATCGACTGAAGTCAGACGACTGGATCGACTGAAGTCAGACGACTGGATCGACTGAAGTCAGACGACTGGATCGACTGAAGTCAGACGACTGGATCGACTGAGGGCTGCGATAGACGTCAGAGGGCTTCGATCGACGTCAGAGAGCTGCGATCGACGTCGGAGGGCTGCGACTGAGAGATAGCGCTTCGATCAACTTCAGAGGGCTTCGATTGAGAGAGAGGGCTTCGACTGAGGCAGGTTTGATTTTTCTCCTTTACTCAGTTTCGATTAGGGCTTGTTTTTTTTTTTTTACTTTATAAATATTATACTTTGACCCCAAATAAATATAAAAAATTCAAAAACGAGCCCCGCCGTGTCCCATGGCGTGTCCAGAAATGGACACGCGTGTCCCCTCCGTGTCCCTGCCGTGTCCCCTTCCAAAAAAATCATTAAATTAAAGGGACACGCCATCTGGCGTGTCCCGTACGTGTCCACGGCGTGTCCCCGTGTCCCCGGCGTGTCCGCGTGTCGGACACTGCTACGGCATCAATTTTGGAGTGTCCATGCTTCATAGTAAAGCCATAATTGAAAGAAAGAAAAAAAAGGTCACTAGTTTTAAATAAATTAAAAAAATTTAACATTCCCTCCAAATAAATTGATTGAATGCTAGATTTTCAATTCTCCCTCCAATCAAATATGATTCAAACAATTTGATTGAATCCCACATTGAAGTTTTAGATTCTATTTGAACAAATTTTTCCTATAAGTAGGAATATATTTTTATAATTTCTTCAAGCTTCCAATGAGACTCCTCCTCATGAGAGGAGACTCTTGAAGTAAAAATTTTTAGTCAAAATTTTGAGAGATATATATATAAATACATAAGAAAGAAAGAAAAGAAAAGAAGAAAAATAATAAAAAATAAGAAAAGGAAAGAAGAAAAAAAGAATAAATAAATAAAAAACAAGAAAAATAAAAATAAAAAACCCACTGGGTTGGTTGAGAACCGGAACCGGTTCGCCGGTTTTACTGATTGAACCACCAGTTCTTTTGTTTTACAGAGGTTTTGCTCTTTGCCTGGGTTTAGAGGGTTTTCCGGACCGAAACAAGGCCCGGTTCCTAGTCCGACCAGCCGGTCCAGTCCGGGTTTCTAAACATTGGTTTGAAGTCCGAAATTGGTAAAAAGTTGCAGATAATATAATAGTGAGAAAGTATATATATCCAAAGCAAATATTTCTGTGCCAATACATACCCAACATAGTGAAAGAAACCAAAAATATTAATCCTACACCTTCCACAAGAAATTAATAGATTGTCATTGCATCTAAATGCCAATTTGAGTCATTTAATTTTCAACTGATCTCTGAAGTTCCACGGAATGCTTTAAAAGGTCTTCGCTCAATGAAATACTGTTTAAATCCATTTGAAAATCCAGAAGGCATGGCTACATTATCAACCAGGACAATAAGTCATCATCTGGCATACCAGTTGCAAGCTGCTTTTCCCAGCAACTATAATATGGAACTATTCCCCACCCAACTCATACTTCCAACCCCAAATGAGCTATGAAAACATTATGATACCTGTGATAAGCAAGTGCCACTTCATGACTAACACACTCAAACAACAACCAAATGGAAACAATTATATTATAATAAGTGCCTTGGCTTGAAGTTGAGGATTTGAAATATATCCACATATTTTAACAAAAAGAACCAAACTTCAACACAATCTATACAACTCAACAAAGCCTTGTTCCAACTATTTGGAATTGCCAAGATGTTTTTTGCTCGTACATTCAAAGGCTCTAACAGAGGTTCTAAGTTGACTATCAATGCAACCCTCCTCTATTTGTTACTATACCATTTCTTTCTCGTTGTGCCTTTCCAACAGTACTAATAACTCAAACGCCCATTTAGCGGCACGGGGTTGTTGACCTCAAGATAACCAGTTACAACTTAATTATTTACAAAATAAACTTCACAAGCAGGAGGCCAAGTAACTAAAATCAGGAATTCAGCCCCTAATATGGACATTGCATTTGATACCAGTACTTTGAATTGTTGTAATCAGGCTTAGATACAAGTGCAGAAACTATGAATGTATTTTTTATGGCACATTTGACTATAGAATATGAGCCAATAAAATCTCAAAATAAATACACTGAACTGTAGGGTAAATATTTGGCAAGAAACACATCACTATCAAATGCAGTTGATTATAACTTATGAGTGAAGCCTCTAGTCCTTGAAAAGAATTTTCTAGACCTGCAGGAAGCCTAAGAATTCAAAAGACTAGAGTAACATTATTAACAATAAGTTCCTTTTCTGAAGCCCACCATTTGAAGCACAGCAAACTGGAGCCATGATCAGAAAGCAATTATGCACGGAACCATGAGTTCCTTTTCTTTTCTTTTTTTGTCTATTGTGAATATAACTCCTCACCTCTATTATTCGAATCGTACGATTCAATTCGATTTGATTTAGAAGGTAATCGATTCGAACAGGTTGTGTGAATTGCAAATAGCTATGAATCATAGGTGAATCGTGAATCGATTTGATTCGCTAAAATCGATATTTGGCTTTCTTTTTTGGTTTTTTATTATTGGAAAAGAGTTCACACAACTTTTTTAAGGTCTCTAGGAATACTATATGCCATCTTTTGACTTTCTCCGTCCCTATTTACTCTTAAATACTCAAACCTTAACAGGAAAAAAAATAAACTATCTCTCTCTCTACAATATTCTAGGCATATATATTTAATTTTATTTAAGTACTTGCATTTACAAAATGAATTTTTTGAAGGCATCAAGTGAGATTTTTGAAAAAGTTTAAAGATTTTAGGTTTTTAACCTTGTAAAATGTTAAAAACATTATTGCTGAATTATTGTTACTTGGAAATTGAAAGTTTGTCTCTGTTTGCTTTAACAGTTGATAAGAAATAGTATCTAAAACTAAAAGGGAAAAAGGTGAAGTAGTAAACAGTGGGAACCAATGTTAACTTCTTACTCAGGCCACAGATCATCATTTAAAACAATATTTTTATCAATGTAAGTCTAAATATTTCATATTTATTAGATATATTTAATATCTAAGTGTGTAAATATATTTTCTTTATAATTAAAAAAAGGTGACCGAATCTTTACGATTCACGATTCTTTCGATTTGCGATTCGATACAATACCATTTCGATGCATGATTCAAATCCCGATTTGACAACTATACTCCTAACACTCAACCAACCACCCTGTCTACAATTTTAAATATATATATATATATAAGAAGAGGCCTTCACAGGCTTTACCCAATCTTAGTCTTGTAAATACAGGGTCTTAGCTAAGATGAGCTTTGTGCAAATCTAACCCCCAAAGCTTTTTGCACAAACTGGATGCCCCTAAACTCAAACCTGCACTTCAGTCTGGACAACTTGAGTTTTTACCATTGCACAATGCAATGGTCCTAATTTAAGGGGGGAAAATCCCAACTTTATCAAACATATTAATAACTTGTCTTTTGCCTAAGTAACTTGCCTCATGCCAAATAATTTTGACAAATGTCACCCATAAGTCATAGCACTATAATTCATTTTCGTGTTAACACAGTAGGTGATGAGAATGCCAATTAACACAAGTAGCAATGCATTAAAATGGAACTACCAAATACTAATTATAGACTCCCAAAGTTACTACAACCCAAAAAAGTGCATTGGCCTTTTATTCCTTTATTATTTTCTTATGCCATTTTAGACCATCTTTTTGCCCAAGCCATGAACTATCAACCAGAAACTCCTGTTTCTTCTTCTTCTTCTCAATCTATGAACTACATTTTTCCAATCCTAAAGGACAACAATCAATGACCAATTATATGAACAACTTTCTTATCTAAAATAGATGGGCAACTTATCTGCACCATTCTTCATAAATGTCTACACTGTCTGTCTGTATCCTATACAGGAGGAAACATGCTTCGTCCCAAAATGCATGATAAGCATAGAGATAGTTACCGACCAAGTGTAAACTTTGGTCTTGATAAGAAAAATGATAACAAGGATCCCTCTTATTTATGCATCCAAATTCCCCAAATGCCATGCCATTCCTTGAAATCCTTAAACACCTCACCATAAACCTAATAGAAATCTGTCAAATTATCTATCATTCCTATGCAAACTTGAACAATAAAACCAACCCTCTTAACAACCAAGCCAATTTCAAATCTTGTCCAAACTAATGAGTTTGAACACCTACTCATGTTCCCTAGTTGGCTATAGATATTCTTCCAAAACCATTAGTAAATTCCATATTAACCATATATAAGTTATAACCAAGAGGCAGGCTTGAATTTTAGCCTTTAATTATTTCATTCATCAAACGTTCTAACCAAAACCTCAATAAACTTTTAGGGCCCATTAAGGAGACGAGCGGTTTAAAGTTGTTTGATAAATCAGAAAACCCATGAGGCATTCTTGACCTTTTAGAAGTTTATTTTTGGGACCTTTTTCCTAGGCAATTCAAAGCAAATCACCTAGCAAAGAAATCATGGGAAAACACTGACAATCTTTTCATCAGTATTATGTTGCTTCAAGTGTGATCTCCCCTTGGTGATCATGGTCGATGGTTCACTCCCCCCCACATGCAATCCGGTATAGCTTATCATTATGATGGTAACAGTATTATTTTTCAGCTAACAAACCCCAAGTTAGAGCTGTTTTGAGCTTGAAAGCTAACCCATTTTAGTTGACTGTTTAGTTTTTTATGAAAAGATGTATAGAAAAGTAGACACAGCGATGTGATAACTTTATAGTGACTTTTTGACTTTTTGGCTATTTTAGCCACTCTCTAAATCAGATCAAACTATCTCTACCGATGTTTAATTTAAAGGGAATAATCTTTTTATAAATTAGGGGCCAACAAAGAACAGATTGTAGTTTTAGGTTTATGAAAAAAATTCACTCCCACATAATTGCCAACTAAAGTAATTCACTGAACTTCAGTTGAATCAGGTTGAAGTCCATGCAAACAAACATTCCATAGTTTATTCCAGCCCCTTTTTTCTTTTTCTTTTTTGCAGGTATACTAGCCATATTTTGAGTAATCTAAACTCATTATAATACAAAACCGAAGTGCACAAAAATGAGACGGACCGCGAAACATAAAATCAAACACAAAAATAACACAATACAATTATACAACAACATTGATGATGCCATTAACACTAAGATCAAACATAGCACTCGAAATCATGGTTAATAGAAAAAATTAAAACATATCAAAACATATACTACCCCAATACCGATTCTGACCTATAGAGTGGAAATGTAAAATTTGTATGAAAAAAAATAAAATGCAATTCGTACCTCGCGGTTATCGGTGACCTTGAGAACCAATTTACCGTCACAATGTCTGTACTTCATGACATAACGCGTCTACGGTATGAAAGAACATTTTAAAAAATGGAAAATAAATAAATAAATAAATAAAGTAATAAGAAGATAGAAGCATTAGAATTGAATTGAACAACGAAGGGAACAGTGAGGTAGAAGAAGGGTTACAGATTCGGGACTGGCGCGAAACAATTGGACCGATCTCTCGACGAAATCGTCCCACGATGTGATATAAACCATTCCGACTGACTGGTTATGACGGAGAGAGAGAGAAATTCCCAGAGGCGGTCGTCGATCTCTGGGCAGGGTGAGGGTTTTCAATTTTGAGATCTGAGGCCAAGTTTTGAACCACAGAGCCAACACTGAGGCCAAGTTTGGCGACTAAAAAAATTCATCTTTTTATTTTTTTTTAATTACATTACTTCATTATTTTTTTACATATTTTTTTGTAAAAAAATAAAAAAATATATTTATTTAGTCTATTTCAAACAACCTGAAGTTTATTATGGTGGGGTTTAGTAGAGTATGATTTGGGAGCGGAGATGTGTTTTAAGCATGTGAGTTTTGTAATTATGATTTAAATTTGATGAATAAATTTTGAAAAGAGTTTTAAATTGAATAGAAAATTTTTGATATGTCATATGATATTTGACATAAAAATTTATAACTTATAATCAAACATATAACTTAAAATTTCATTAAAACACATAAAAAATTTCAAAAATTTCAGAAAATATTTTTTGTTGAATATATAAAAATTAACATGTGTCAATTGCCAAAAAAAAAGTGCACTGTTCCGGTCAACCGGCCGGACAACCGATTAATCTAAATTTTCTCGTCTTCGACCAAGTTTTCAAAAGTGGGTGTAAAATTAATTTTTTAAAGTCACAACCAAACACTATATGTAAACTAAGAACTAGAATCACAATTTCAAAATTCTACCAAACAGAACCTATATTTTCCATAAAAAAAAATAATTTAAAAGTTGAAGTTTTTAATGGGTTTTTGGCGAGGGCAATAACGTGGTTTTTTTTTTTTTTTTTTGGAAATTTCACTTTACCCTATGATTTGAATGAATGCGGTTTACTCCTCACATTCAGAAAACGCTACATAATTTTTGTGTAATTTTTAAATCAAAGTGCACTGTCAACTTTTTCATCTAAATTAACGGAATATGAGACTCACACGTCTAGAAATAGAGTAAGTTAATTTTTAAGACTAAATTACCACTCACTCATCTTCAAATTTACAAAATATAACATTCTTTTTCTTTTGTTCTTTATTGTTTCTCTCTCTATGGTGGGTTGAAAATAAGGGTTTGGAAGCTTATAATTTGGGAAGATTAGAGTGTTTTGGGAGAAAATGAAGACAATAAAGAAAAATAATCTAATACCCCTTACCCTGAAAATCAATTACATATATATATATATATATATAAATACATATATGTACATACAAATATGGAGGTAATGACATAGGAGAAGATGGGGGTTGAGGGAAAGGGAAGATCAATTACAAAATGTTTAGATGCTTGAAGTTCAAGATCAAGGAGGCTGAGTGAACGCCGAATATGAATAAGTCGTTCGATAGATGTACATGTATGTACACATGATCAAGAAAATTATATGTATGTATGTATATATATATATGGATTGGGTTTGATATGTATATATGTATGTACACATGATTAAGAAAAATGGGTTTGGATTTGTATATGTGAACTAAGTTTGTATATGATAAAGAAAAAGTTTGGGCGGTGAACAGTGAACTGTGAACTGGGTTTGATATGTGTAGAGAGTCGGAAATTAAGCTCCAAATTAAGTATGGGCATAAGTGTTGAGGTCGCTTCAAAGGAATAAAAAAGAAGCATAGGCTAAAGCCCAAGGGAAGTGGGTCAATAAATGGCCAAAGCAAGTCTGACCCACCAAAGGGTCCAAATAGACTCTACGAAGGAAAATGACTAAGTCAAGTTGCAGAGGCAACACATGCAACGATCAAGCTGCAGAGGCAACATATGCAACTGTAGACCGCCCGAACTCTCTCCGCACGCCCCCCTTTTCGGAGAGGGCGCAAATCGGGTTCTAGCTACTACAGTTCAGACTCCTGTCACGGTTCTGAATCTAATCTTACAAAGTGCAATGTAAGACTGATAAATTACCAAAGAGTCCAAATCCGGCAAATCGTTTTGGAAAATCGATTTTAATCAAAAAGTGCCAAACATTGACTGCTTTGTCAGATTTCAGAGTCGCCACCTAAATATTTTGTTTTGGAAAATTTAGGAAACCCTGACTCATGCCTAAGGCCACGTGTTTCTCATCACCAAAGTTGTCTCGACTTGGGAACTTCGGTACGAGAGGGGAAGGTCCTAAAATGAGCACCCATGCTCGCCCGATCAAAGATCGGCCTCTACTAAACATGATATGTTATTTTTGAAAACACATGTGTTCTTGTTTGATTATTAGCTAACTTATTATGTGGTGCGCACAACACACAAGTATAGACTAAATCATTCAATTTGGAACAAAACATCTCATGCTTGTTTTTCGAAAATGGTTTGAAGATGCTACTCGCAAGTAGGCTAAAACGCGGATTTGCCACCAAACAAGGTGGCCTTAAAACATGATGATTTGCCACTCCAAGTGGGCATAAATTTTGATGAATTGTTCCAATTCAAGTAATAAAGCCTTCATCTATAGGCATTTATGCAGTTTATCAATGAAGCAAATAGCCTCATGGCAAGCATGCTATCATGGCAGTCACTTACACATATGCAAGGATGCTAAAACTTACAGTGTACTCCGAGCCAAAACAAAAAACTAGTTAGAAATCATACATGATCCTAGTGTAGACACTCCAATTTTGACCGGCCTTAAAACTTGGGCGCTTTCTTTTAATTACCCGATGATGACAATTAGAATGTATTTCTCATAGAATCTCCAGTAAGAAAGATGGAATTTGAGCTTTAGTCCCAACCGTCACCATTTTGGCAAAATTGTTTTAAACTACTAAATATTTCATTAGTTTAGTATTTTGTCATTTTGCATAATTTTATGTGTTTGTTCATATTTTTAGCGTTTTTATATAAATTGGTGTAAATTATATATTTTAGATATTTTATATATTAGATTATATATATTATAAAAAAATATAATAATAAAAAAATTATTTTGATGTCGGCAGCCAACATTCAAATCAAACTTTGCATAACTTTGCATATATATATATATATATAATATAAGATTTATATTATTATATTATTATAATTTCCTTATATAAAGACATAGGGGGAGAGGCTCAGCAAGAAAGAAGAAAGAAGGAAGAGTCTGAGTTATTAGATTTGTATTATTATAAAAAATATATATAATTATTTTGATGTCGGCAGTCGACATCCAAATCAAACTTTGAATATTATTATATTATTATAATTTCCTTATATAAAGACACAGGAGGAGGAGGCCCAGCGGAGAAGAAAAAAAAGGAAAAGTCGGAGAGAATTAAAAGGAGAGGAGGGAGGCTAATCAGAAAGAGAAAAAAAGAAAAAAATGGGGAAAGGGTCTGAGAATTAGATTAGAGAATCGGAGAGGGAAAAAAGAAGTGGTGCGAGAGACTTTGAGAAGAGAGAGAGGGAAAATAAAATATTTTCTTTGATATTTTTATTTCCATTTCATTAATACACTATTCAAAAACCAACCACTAAAGCTGTAATTCCAAATTTTGGACTGAGAATTGAGAACACATTCCACAGACTTAAGAGTAAACAAAAGAAAGTTTGTAACTCAGAAAATTCATCATTTCCCAAAAGGTGAGTTTTCGCAAATTTTCATTTAATTTTAAAGTGTGATATAATTTGTTTAAATACTTCATTTACTTCTTTTCATAACTGTTTTTTTTATCGCTTTAATGGGATGGCTGCACCACCCACATATCTGCTGTAATTTAAATATTGTATATAAACTGTTGTAATTTATTACTTTAAATCATCTACCCCACCGGATGAATAGTACCTCCAGCGGTGAATAGTAACCTCCGACGGTGAATAGTACCTCCGGCTATTTAATTTTGTTCGCTTTCTATAGCTTAATTTCAGCACTATTGTATGCTATTTAGGGGGCTGTTTAATTTATTTCAATAATTTACGTTTTAAATATCAAGTTTATTTGTACTAACCAATTAATCAACTTTGCATAATCGTCTCTGCAACCTCCCTCCCTTCTTTGCTTATTTCGATTAAAAAGTTGTAAAAAATTAAGATTGTGGTTCAAGTATAAGAAAAGAACTCTTCCGTGCTTAATGGTTTAATTTATTCGGAGGTTCATTACCAAAGGTATAGAACGCTCTATGCTTAATGGTTTAATCTCTTTGGAGATTCACTACCAAAGGCATAAAACGTTTTATGCTTAGGAGGTTCATTACCAAAGGTCGAGCACGCTATATGCTTAATGGTTTAATCTCTTTGGAGGTTCATTACCAAAGGTATAAAACGCTCTAGTTCTATGCTTACTGATTTAATCTCTTAGGAGATTTACTACCAAAAGCATAAAACGCTCTATACTTAACGGTTTAAATTCTTTAGAGGTTCATTACCCCAAATGTATACATGTTCTTATACTAAAGCACAATCTTTTCTTTTTCATTTCTCTTTATTCATCAATGTGTTTACTTTTAAGGGACTAATTGACCCTTGGAAATCACCAAGGAAAGTGTCATTATCACTTATTATCACGTTTGGATTTCAAGTCATTATCACTCAAGTTTGGATTTTTCTATGTCATTATCAGTCTTTTGAGTTTGACTAGTCCTTATTGCGCATCTTGAGTTTGACTTGGAATCCCTTATCGCGTGTAAATAAGTTTGACTCTTCCTTTGTAATTTTTCCCGAAGAAAATCTTCTCGGGTTAAGTTGACGCTTGTTTCTCTTTATTGCGTTTTGGACTTAGTGGACACAAATATCACTTTTGCACAAACAGGAGAAAAGATAAAGAAATGGAAAGGTAAAAAAAAAGACTAATAAAATTGGTTAAAATTGGATTATAACCGACATAAAGAATCAATATGATTAATTGAATTCGGTCGGACGTTATACCGAGTTTATTGAATCAGGGCTTATAGTAATAAATTAGACAACCCCTTTCATTTATTATTCATTTGATTTTGTAATAATTATTTATTCAGACATTTGGACATTCGGACCCTCATTCGCGAGGACAAATATGTAATAAGTTGTATGGCTTCTAACCCCCATTCTTTCTCCCTTTTATTTCACTGCGTATGATGGTTAGATTAGGGACATCATGTTTAATTAGCATCTTCCATGATTTACATCCATTCGTTTACATGCATAAAAGTTCGGCTCATCATATTATTCAACTGT